AGATGATTTTGAAGAGTTGTAATATATGATTTCACTATAAGGGAAAAAAGGTAAGTCTAATTTTTTTTTTATAGTAAATCAAAAAAATTTTTTTTTTTTTTAAAAAAAATCCAATTTTTATTTTATTTAATAAACATTTTATCTTACATTTAATCAAGATATGAAGAGAAACAAGAGGGCTAACACCAAATCATGAAAAAACACTTCAATGCATATGGCTTAGACTATGGTTAATGGTGATAGAAAGGCATTCAGCATTCTACTCTTCATGTGAACTACATCAAATATGACATTTACTTTCTTGCTGGAATTAAGTAAATGTAGACTCGTCACTCCAGACTATTTTTTTGAAGTCTTGAATGGTCCAGTCTTTATGTGCAAGGCATTAGATAAATCAGTTTTCAATATTTTTTTTCGAAAGGAAGGGCTTGAAATGGGTGATACAGCTTTTTAACTGTTCTTTATGCAGAGTTTGACAAATGATTTTTTCGGATACTTTGATTTCCATTTTGGCTATAAAAAGATTAGTTAGTTTTGTAGCAGTAACATGTCTGTTACCCTTTTTGCCAATAACAAGTTTTTTTAGGGTGATATGAGCATACTTATTGAGGAGTTGTGATTGTTTCAATTGTCCTGATCGTTGTGTTTGCGATTCTGTGAATCCAGTTTCAATAAAATGCTTTATAATATTACCCACCACACTTTTTTTGTATCTGATATTGGCTACAATATTATGATAGGTATTTTTTTTTTGTAATCATAAATTATGACTGTTTTTTGTTCAGAAGTTAATTCTTTATTAGCAGGTATTAGCAGTTACACAAAAATTGAAGTGAAATTTTTTTAAATAAAAAAAAAATTATATATATATGTATATAATCCATTTTTATAAATTGAATATGTTATACTTATATATTGAGTATATTTTTATCAAAAAAGTTTAATTAGTTTTTATTTAAAAAAAAAAAAAGTTGTCCATAAACTTTTGTCCACCCTTTGTATAAAGTATCAAATGTTAATAAAGCAAGATCTCAACTAGTGTTCAAAAATAAAAAATAAAAAATAAAAAAATATTCAAAAACCTTTGCACTATACTGTATATATTTCATACAAGTATTTATATATACATATACTGTATGTAATAAACGCTATTATTTTTTTTTAAAAAAATCAGAATGTTTTAAATAAATAAAAAATTAATTGTGTAATAAGAAATTTAGCTTGTTTTACAAATTAATAAAAAATATAATAAAACAAATTTACAAAAATGAGTAGTTTTACACCTCAATGTCATAATAAAAAGTATATAAATCACCAATTTATTAAATAGTTTCCAATCAAGACATCTATGCGGCCTTTACCATAAGAATAAAAAAGTAAAGACAACTATTGATCAGTCAACATCATTTATGAAATCAATTTCTTGAATAAGAAAATTAAATTGCGAACTATAAGTCTCTTCAACTTTATTTACTTAAATAATCAAGTTCAATAGCTAATACTTGCGGCGTGAGATTTTGCAATTGCATTAATGTTAGCCAAAGTATTTTCCGTCATCAATGAAATTATCAAAGCCTCCACCCGCTCCTAAAAATTCTGAATCATCAGCTGGTCCAAGTCCACCGGGGATTGCGCCACCAGTGGCAAGACTCTATAAAATCAATAAAGTCAATAAAGTGACTGACCGATTTGTTTATATAACAATTTACTTTTTCTTACTTTAGCAAGATATTCCTTACTGCACCCAATAGCTCGATCCGTTTTAATAACACGTTCGCTCACTTTAGTAGCTTTAGCAATTTGTTGCTCAAGGTGAGTGATGGTTAAAGAAGTGTTATACATGTCTGCATTGTCGTGAAAAGATACCATCCCATTTTGGTGAGAATGACTAATTGTAGCAAATATTTCACGAGATTCGATCTATTATACGTTTTGTAAAGTCGAAAAAAAATCATTAACAAAATGAGAGTCAGTAAAAGAAAATTTTAAATAGAAATTTACCATTCGGAGAACATAATTTTCTGCCATTTTAGCAGCATTAGGACCTTCTAATCCAACTGCTTCAGCAATATCAGCCAATGATAGGGTTAGATAAGTTTGAGTTAATTGTTGAATGTTGCGACGATAAATCGCATCAAGCGTTTGTTTTGCCAGACCAAGATTTTTATCCTGTATAAAAAAAATTTAGTATTATAACTTTAAGTAAACATGAACAATAATATATACCTTTCTAAAAGTATCAGCACATTTGTTGAACTCATTTCGTAGCCGTTTTACGTTTAAACTTTCAAATGCACCAGAGTAATCTTGATATGCTTGACATTGGTTTTTGATAGAACGAAATACGGCAGTCGCGGTATATTTAGGGAGAGGTGCAATCTATACCAAATTTCGACATTGGATTAAAATAAATTGCAATATTATAGAAAATATAGTTCTTATATTAAAAACAAAAGGCGTGCAAACCTTTCCATGCAAAAGTAGTGAAACCAAACTGAACTTCTTGTAAGCTTCAATTTGAATCTGACTAGTTATATTTGCTGGCGCAGATATAACCTAATGACAGTTTGAATTAAGAAAATTCGATCAATGCTAAAAAAAAATTCTGAAAAAATTGTATTCTTACCAGTTTTAGGAAATAAAAAGCTCTTTCATAATTTTTTAGTCCTATGTACACCATCGCGCCGTAGTAATGGTATAGCAGATGATCTATATAACCGATACCCGTTCCCTGTAAGCCCATATATGATGTGTAAATTTTGTGTTTAAGCCTTGATTAAAAGAAATAAATCTAATCCAGTTTACCGAAGTCTCTATTTCAGTAATATCATTTAGCAATATTGGCAACGCTTGCTTATAACATTTAGATAACAAACATTCCTTTACAAAAATAGTGCAAGAATTAGTAAAGATTTTAAAAGTTTAATTACATATTATTTGCATAAAAATATTATTACCTTAATGAGATACTGATGTAAATTTGTCAAATGATTTTGTGACTGAGCGTATCTCTGAAGCGCGTTAACAAGTGGTTTAATGGCGATAACACTCTAAAATTTGTCTCATCAGATATACAGACTAATTAATAATGATCATTAAGTCGATTATATCTCCTACGTTTCCATATTGAGCCGCTATCCTACATAATCCTTGTGCGACTTGAAGAACTACATTTTTTACGAAGTTGTCTATTATTATCCTTGAAAAAAAAAATAATAATAATAATTGAAAGGTGGCTTGCACTTGATACACACATTTATCGGGCGCTATTCGAACTTGTTGCGGATCAAATACTTGCAAGAAATTAAGGGCATAATTCAATAAATGTGCAGCATTTGGCCTCTCCGCATTACAACGCGCGGAACTGTTAAAAGTAAAAATCTTTAAAAAAAATAGTAAAACATACATAAACGTTGCATACCTTTTACATAAAGCGCGAACTTACAGAAAATATGTGTATGCCAAACTGCAAAAAGTTTGATCTAGCAGATCAAGGGGATCCTGATTATCCGCTGTACCCTGCAAAAAAAATTGTTGTGGTAGCTGTTTAAGCATTGGGAAAATATGGTTAGAAATATTTTCGATGCCATCACTGTGGGCCGAAATAAATTGAAGGAGTTCGTCGACTGTTCCGGGAGTCTGTTGATTTGGCATTATTTAACTAAACCTGAATGTGTTTTAAAGATCATTGAAATTTAACATATCCGGTTTTAAGTTAATTTACATATTACTCACTATAATATACTATCAGTCACGGGACATTTTCCTATTAGTGCTTTTTACTACAGTATTTTATTTAACTTATAAACCTTAATTTATCAAGTTCCTAGCTTTATACTATGTTAAAAAAATTTATTTATTGTTAACTCTAAGGATCCTAACAATTCAATTCGATTTGATTCTTGATTCTTAGATTTATGTTAAATTTACTATGTGAATTATAATTTATTATTATTTTTAATAATATTTCAAACCTTATATGAGTTTATATAAGTCTGTTTGATTTCAATTTTTGGAACCATAGTTAACTCTATACAAGTAAAATCAAATTGAAAATGACAATTTTTTAGACATAAATCTTAAGATCTTTCAAAATCTTTAGATTTATTTTAATTTTGTTTTTTTAAAAATAGAAATTAATAATTACTTCAAAATATCTTACTAACATAAATCTAATTTACTAATACTTTTTTAATGTTTTCTTAGAAGTATTTTTTTTTTAAACAAAAGTAATAATTTTAAATCTTTTATTATAACAATGAGTTACAGGTAATATACTATATAATAATTTAATATATTATTTATAATTATATATTATTTATAAAACTTTGAAAAGTACTGTATCAAAATAATACTAATTATACATATAGTTATATTGTTGATCCTTATCATATATGGTAATATAATTTCTAATTAAATATGATTTTCAATTAATTTATTATGTTTTTAATAATAATATGGTTTTTGAAAAATATTTTTTTTTTTTTGTTTTTTTTTTTTTTTGTTTTTCCGTAATTAAACAAGTATTTTAAGAGTTTATTTAATCTTAAAGAAGAATACATATTAGTTTAACAACTTTTATGCACAAACTTTT